TTTCTTTTCCAGTGTACAAAAGTTTTTTATTAGATTTAGTATTAATACAACAGTAGCACAAATAGTACACATTTTTAGATAGGCATAGATGGAAATGAAAACAGTATTACATCTTCATCATAACAGATGGCATTTAGTAGGTTTAACAGGTATAACATAGAGGGGAAAGTAGGATGCCTGGAGGATTACAGTTCTTTTACCAGAGACACGTGGCATTGACCACTTTATTTATTTATTTATTATATTTATAACCCGCCCTCCCCGCAAGCGGGCTTAGGGCGGCTCACATTGCCTGGCACAGTGTGCCAAGGTTCCTCTACATCAAACATTTAAAACTTAAAACACTATTAAAACATTTAAAACTTGAAGAATCTCTTTCAGTTTCACCAGATATTGTAGGATTGGAAACCAGATTGGTAGAAAGTCAGATGAGTGTGTTTGGACAGCCAATTGCGATATGTTATCTGTCATTTTTGCCATTATATAGTACTCCCATATTTTTTTACGCCAGAGAGAAAGATCAGGGGCAGTAGTGCTTTTCCAGTGGGGGCAAAATAAGGGTTTGCGCAGCTGATAGTAGAACTGAGACCACTTTCATGGTAGGTGGTGCACAGTGTTCTGGCTTCCAGCTATTTAGGAATAGACTTTCTGGTGTTAATAGAATAGTTAGGTGGCCATTGATAGTTTGAATTTGATCTAGTACTTTTACCCCAAAGCATTCAACTTTGGGGCAGGATACCCAGTGATGTTGATAGTCCACCCTTCTTACCACATTGCTTCCAGCATGATGAACCTGCCAAGGGAATGGCATGATGAGCTACCTTTTGTGGAGTCAGGTACCAGTGTGACAATATCTTAAACGGACTGTAGTCCTATTGCATTAATGTTTTGATCTGTGGGAAGGCATTTCTTTCTTTTTTAAAATAATAAATTTTATTTATTTACAACCGCAAACAATTAATGCAATATGGCAAGACTACCTTGACATATACATTGACAAATACAATAGATACGTTTTAGCTAAGTCTTACGGTTAAAAATATACTGAGCAGGTTCGGTGGATGTGGTATTATGGACAGCATTGTAATAGTTGGAAGGCATTTCTGATCAGGGGAATGGCCAGAGGGCAAAGAGAGAAACCCACCCTGACCTACGCGTCTGCTTTCTGCAGCTCAGTTCCACGTCTTGGGATCCGAACGGGGACCCCCAGCTCCACGTGGAGTTTGCGTGCATTTTTCCCTGCCCTTGTTCATGTGAACACACAAAGCCGCCTTATACTGACTCAGACCGTTGGCCTGTCAAGGTCAGCCTTGTCCCCTATGACTGGTGGCGGCAGCTCTGCAGGGTTCTCAGGTGGAGGCTCTTCCCATCGCCCGTGACCTGAGTGTTCTAACTGGAGATGCTGGAGATGGAGCCCAGGACCTTCTGCTGCAGCCCTTCCCTACGAGAGTTATGCTGGGTTTTGGCCAACTGCGGTTTCTCACTTGTACATTTCCCATCCCTAGATCCCTTGGAAGATCAAGAGCCGCAGCCGTCACTGATGAGTGCGGCCAGCCTGCAGTGCGTGCCCTCCGGGGTAAGGGTGGACCTGGAGAACACCAGCGTGGTTCTCTCCATGAACAGCCAAAAGAGGTAAGGAGGGAACTGGGGAAGCATCTGAGCCCTCGTGCCCTGCCCCACTCGCCGCAAGCAGGTCGTTGGGGGCGGCCGCCTCCAGCCCTTGTCGGCAAACGCGACCGCGTTCATGTCATCGGTCTCCTTTCCCGCAGGCATCTCACCTGGACCTTAAAACGGCTGCAGTTCGCGTCTCAGTGTGACAGGGAACAGATGCCCCTCCGCAGTTTCACGCCCACCTGTGATTTGCCCCAGATGAGCGTGGAGGTTGTGCTGGAAGGCAAGTGTGGAGGGGGAGGGGCCGGATGCAGAGGAACCCTGAAGAGGGAGAAGGCCCTTCTGCTCTCCCCTGTTCTTTTTCAGCTGCTCCTCTGGAGTATTCTCAGATCAGTGCCTTCCTCCTGGGTGACTCTTCTTCCCCCCCCTGGGTGGCTCTTTCTCTTCTTCTACCAAGAATCTCCATGGTCCACTGACATGTGTTAGAGCTGCAAAAACCTGGATTCTCTTATCTGTAGACCCGGGTTTGATTCCGCGCTCCTCCTCCACATGAAGCCAGCTGGGTGACCTTGGGTCAGTCACAGCTGTCTCAGAGCTCTCTCAGCCCAAAAACAAGTCTAGCTTGCTATCTAGTGGTGCGTAACGCTAAAGAGCTAGAACTTCTGGCTGCCAGACAATCTTAGGATCTCCTGGCTACACTACACACACTGATTATTTATTATTATTATTATTCCACTCTCACAATCTCTATTTGAAGCTTGTCCTCTTCCTAAGCTATTTGAAGCTTGTCCTCTTCCTAAGAACATACCTCTCCGGCTGAATCAGGCCCACATCCCGACTAAATCCAGCACACATTTTTTGGGGGGGTCCCTTGGAAATTGGCCTGCCTGAAACTGCAGTCTCCCTTCTGGCCATGCCAGGTGGTTTCAGTCCCTCCCCAGGCTTGAGGGGCCAGATTTGCTTTACAAGGTGTAAAGACTTTTTCCTCTGGAAGTTCACATACGTATCCTTCCTGGACGGACGACTTTGGGGTCACCCTAAGAAAGGTCATCTCCTTAGCTGCAGCTGATGTCTTGGCTTATTGGGTCACAGAGCAAGGATTACGGCTGGTGAAGAAGGTCTTGGCCCCGAAGGGGGGTGGGCAGTATTGAAGCCTAAGGCTGTCGGGCAGAGGAAGTCGCAGTAGAAGTGGAGTGCTCCCCGCACACAGTAAGCCTCGCCTTTTCCCTTTCTCGTCCCCACAGATGGGCTGCTTCTCTCTCAAAGCCGCCAGCGGATTGTGTGTCTCAGTATGCTTCAAGCAAGCTTGCAGGTGAGCCGTGGCCGAGCAGTGCTCGGAAGCGGCGGGAGGGGAGGGGCACGGCACGCGCTCTTCCACCCCTCCCCAGCCCCCGTCGCAACTCTGACTGTCTCGCCCCCCTCTAGGTTATGGCCATAGACATCTCTGTGGCCGTGACCCTCAGCACGTGCATCGTCCACTACCGCCACCAGGAGTTTTCGCACTGGCTGGGCATGCTCGCTTTAGCCCAGCAGCAAGCCTGGTTGCCAGCCCCGGCCAGCGGTGGCAGCATCAGGCGGTGAGTTTTGCTCTGGCTGGGCTTGGCTGTTTCTCTTTGCTTCTCTGGCCTTGAAGGACGTGTCGTTGTCCAGAGGCCCTTGGGGAAACCGTAAATAGGGATGGGCAACGGGGAGAAGCTACAGGCACATAGATGGATGTCCATCAGACTCTGTCGTGTTGACTCTGGCTGGTAGCTGCGCTGCAGGGTCTCGGGCAGAGCGACGCCCTTTCCCAGTCGTTTTTTGGGGGGGCGTTTGGGCTGACCCTGGGACGACACGCAGGTCACAGGGCACGTAGCCACGGTCACGCTTCTTCCACACAGGATGCCCCAGATCCTGGCCACCATCATCCTCAGTGCCTCAGTCTCCAACGTCAACCTGTCCGTGCAGCTGGGAGACATGCTCCCCTTCGCCTTAGGCTTCCACTCTGTTTCTGTAGGTGAGACCCGGCCCTCTCTTTGTAGGGGCCGCTGGCCGGAAGGCGCCCGCCCTGCGGGGGTGGTGGGGGTGTCTCCGCTGCCTTCCTGTGGCTTCAGCCAGAGGCCGGGTCGGGTGGGGGCTGGTGCCGGTTCCCTGGCTGACTCTCTCCGTCTGCTGCTCAGATTACCAGCACCTGCGCCCTGAGAGTGTGCACCAGCGAGCCGCGCTGGTGGTCGACCATTTCTGCTGGCGCGTGGGGGCCGACTCGCACATCCAGCGGGCCCCGCACCCCCCCAACATGCACGTGTGGGGGGAGGCCCTCATCCTCGACTCCTTCAGCGTGCAAGTGAGTGAGGGAGGGGCTGGAGGGGATGGTTCAACCAGGTAAGGGGAGTAGGGGGTGGGGGGGTCTCCTGCCCATTCCTGCCCAGTGGGACTTCTGCACCTTAGATCCTGCTCACTGATGGGAAATCCAGTGCTGGCGTCTTCTCCCTCTACTTCCCCAAGAAGGGCAAAGGCCATGAAAACATTCCAAGGCTTGGGCTTTCTAAATGGGCGGAAAAGGTGCTTTGTTTAGGAAAAGAGGCAGGATGTGTCCCCCCCCCCCCCCCCCCCCCCGGTCAAAGCCCAGGCATGCTGAGTCACTCACTCCAACATGCCGCTGCCGGTCTGTACATTTTGGTTTCATGTTTTGCTGTTATTGTCTGCTTCGGTTTCCCTCTGTTCTGCTGCTTTTGCGGGGTCGTTCTACCCCATTGACGTAAAAATAACATGGTGTTAATGTTAAGAGATAAATGGAGCACGAGGAAAGAGAAAGTAGTGTACAAATAAAAAGCGCTAGTCAGTTTCTCATAATAGAGAAGAGAAACAGAAACGAAGCTATTAGGGTCGAGCCAGTCAGCTCATCCTCTCCTTCGTCCTGGCTCAGCGTGACAGCTAAATATTTGAAACTGTGGCTGTGGGCAGGCTGCATAACGGTTCTGTAGTGTTAGTTGCTGTAGATTTTCCGGGTTGTGTGGCTGTGGTCTTGGCATTGTAGAACCTGACGTTTTGCCAGTAACTGTGACTGGCATCCTCAGAGGTATAACCCAAAAAGACGGAGTACTCTCTGTGTCAAGGGTTCTGTAGTGGGTTGGCAAAACCTGGTTTGTGTCAAAACACCTTGGGGTCGGGAAGCAATTTTCTCCAGGCCAGTTTGGCCAGGGATTCTGGAAGGGGTTTTTTTGCCATCTTATGGGCATGGAGCAGGGGTTACTGTGTGTGTGTGTGGGGGGGTAGTTGTGAAATTCCTGCATTGTGCAGGGGGTTGGACTAGATGCCCCAGGAGGTCCCTTCCAACTCTGTGATTCTATTCTCTTCTGCTGGGTAAGCCATGATTAAGAGAGTCTCCATTCTCTCTGCCTGTGAAGCAGCTAGCAGGCATGTTGTGTGTCTCTCTGTGCCTGCTCACAGCATGTATGTATGTAAGTGGGAGGCACGGCTTAGTCTTGACGAGCCGCACTGTGTTTCATGTCCTGCTCTGCAGGCGCTGCTTAACCATGCTTTTTGGTATTCCATGGTTGCAATCCTTAATTGCGGTTGAGGAAACCAAAGCATGGTTAAATGGGCAAGGTTAATACAAACAGGCCCATGGTTTGCTGTACAGTTTCTGAATCATTGCATAAGATCTTGAGCAGTCTAGGAAGGGCTGATGGGTGGGGAGAGCCACTGAGGCCCAGTGAACACAAGAAACCAAGGTCTGTGTCTTGACTCCCACTCCGGTCCCACTGAAAGGCCTTGGGCAAGAGACTTCTTTCATAGCTGCTTGTCTGCAACATAACAATAGTGAATAGTCTTCCACCAAGCAGGGTGGGTGGCAGATGTGTATTTTCATACACGGGCTCCATTATCCAGTGTTGGGCAGCTGCTTTTGTGGGTTGCCCTGGAGCATCAATGGGCTTCTTTCTAGAGTCTAGCTCTAAGGTCTTCCCCTCTAGTGAAATTTGCATCATACGTTGCAGGGCAGCTACAACCAACCCCTGGGCACCTCCGCTGCCCACGCGGACACCCTCTTCTTGGACTGCACCCTTCGTGGCCTGCAGGTGGAGTGTTCAGACACCTGTTCCGAGTGCCTCTCCAGAGTCCTGTCACTGCTGCATCCCAGGAATGCGGAGACCAAGGAGTCCCTGGAGTCCCTGCAACTGTCCCTGGTGGAGGATCTGGGCATCCTCTGGAAGGTCGATCTGAAAGTGGAGGATGTTAATTTATTCACCTTGTCCTCCCTGGCTGGTGAGTGATCAGGTGGTCTGGGGCAGAGATTGCACCTGCAGGGACCACCATGGAATACTAAGGAGTGTTCCCTCTTGTCGCCCGTTTGGTGTAGTGGTTAAGTGCGCGGACTCTAATCTGGGAGAACCGGGTTTGATTCCCCACTCCTCCACTTGCACCTGGCTGGATGACCTTGGGCAAGCCGTAGTTCTGATAAGAGCTGTTCTTCAAAAAGAGCCGTTTCTGTCAGAGCTCTCTCAGGCCCACCTACCTCACAGGGGGTCTGTTGTGGGGAGGGGAAGGGAAAGGAGTTTGTAAGCCGCTCTGAGACTCCTTTGGGTAGTGAAGGGCGGGGTATAAATCCAATCTCTTCTTCTCTCTCAGCCCCACCTACCTCACAGGGTGTCTGTTGTGGGGAGGGAAAGGGAAAGGAATTTGTAAGCCACTCTGAGGCACCTTTGGGTAGTGAAGGGTGGGGTATAAATCCAATCTCCTCCTCCTCCTCCACTACTACTACTACTACTACTACCACTACTACTACTACTACTACTACTACTTCTTCTCCTTCATCTCCTTCTTCTTCTTCTTCTTCATCATCATCATCATCATCATCATCATCATCATCATCATCATCATCATCATCATCATCATCATCCTAGGCCTATAGTAGTGTGGCCTACAGGCTCTAGTGAGGCCTAGCGGCTCCAGGGAAGCCTGTACTAGAATAGCTATTAGGGCCTACATTTCCCAGGTCACTCTTTGGACCCTGTGTTTGGCTAACGGGATTTGGAGTGAAAACTTGCACCAGTAGAATAGTAGAGGCTGTTGCCTGGCAAGAAGTGATAAAAGGCTTTGGCCAAAGTGTGTGTGTGTGTGGGGGGGTTGTTCACGCCTCGGAAGCAGAGCTTGTGTGAAGCTGCTGCAGATGGAGGGATCCCTCATCCAAAAGGGGAGAGTCAACTTGAGGCCAGATACCTAGAAAAGGCGAGGGGCAGTATAGTCAGACGCATCAGGGTGTCTTATTTTGCTGGTTTGCCTACCTTTACGGTTTTTCCTACATGTTATTGAATTACAGGTGTCATGAAATCTCTTTAATGAAAATAGTTTGTTACTCTGCCTGGGTCCTCACGCCTCATTCGGTCACTTATGAGGAGGAACCTGCTGGAAAAGGAGTGTCTAAAGGGGTAGGGTGGGTGGTCTGCACCTCCCCCCGAGGAGACCCATACCAGAGTGGTGGCAGCCGTTAGAGAACCTTTCTAGCTGCTGCCCGCTTCACCCCTTAATTATCAAGGCGCCCGCGATGATGATATAATGTTATTTGTTCCACGAGAAGGATGCCGCTGCATTTCTCTGCTTTTGAAGCATCGGTCGGTGTTCTGTATAATTAACATAGATGATGATAGCCCAGGCTAGCCCGGTCTCGTTAGATCTCGGAAGCTAAACAGGGTCGGCCCCGGCTAGTGTTTGGATGGGAGAACTCCAAGGAATACCCGGGTCGTGACAGAGGCAGGCCATGGCAAACCAACTCAGAAAATCTCTTGCCTTGAAAACCCTACGGGGGGGTCACCATAAGTCACCTGTGAGAAAAATAAAATAGGCTTGTTGAGTTAAGTAGAACTTCCATCCTCAGTGGCAGTCTGTCTCTGGTAACCAGTTACCAAGGACTGTCACCTTCACCCTTAGCTGCATGCTGTCGAAACTGAACGCTGAACCTAGATGGGTCTTTCATCAGACCCGGCGAGGGTGAAGGCCCTTTTAATGGTCTTCTGCCTTATTCACTTAAAGTGTTTATTAGCTGCCTTTCTACCTTCCAGCACTCAAGGCCGCTTACAATAAACAGAATGAACATCAGAAAATACATTAAGATAGAACTGCCTTAAATTAACTCTGCGACAAATGCAAAAAACGAAGCAAAGCAAATCGCTTGCCGTTGTTGCTCTCCTTGTAGTTTTAATCACAAGAACCATGAAATGATAGCTCTGGAAAGTTCAGTACTTCAGTATTTTCTTATTATAGTGCATATGTCTCTACATCAGTACATATCTTAATCACAATAAGCAATTCATGATCACTATCAACAGTCCATTCTGTTTGGTGTCGTGGTTAAGTGCGTGGACTAATCTGGGAGAACCGGGTTTGATTCCCCACTCCTCCACTTGCACCTGGCTGGATGACCTTGCTCCGGAATGTCCTGTGTCGTTTCGACGTTCCTTCTTCTGAACAAGATTATGTAATTTGTCTCCAGTTCTTATCTACAGAGATAGAAATAAAGCCTGACGCTTACATACATCTTCTTCATTGATCAAAAACGAAGCGCAATTGCGAATAGAGAATTCATTTCGGGCATTCCATTTGACTGTATTTTGACTGTATTTTGCCCGAAATGAATGATGATGATGAATGAAAGTGCCTGTAAGTGTTCTTTCCAAGATTAAAGTCCTTGTGCTGTAGTAAATGGTCCTATGTCCTTTGTTCTTTCAAATCCAGTTAATTGTGGGTGATTTATGGACGTTTTGACAGACTTCTAAACTGCACATGATTTCTTTTTTTCTCTCTCTCTCACCAGGGGCTGCAGAGGTGCGAGTGGATACCCTGACAGTGCTGGGCAGTGCCGAGAGCTGTACCATCAGCGTCCAGGGGGTGGGGCTTGCCCTGCTGAAGAGCGTCACGGAAAAGATGCAGCCCTGCTGCAAAGCCCCGGCTATCCCTAGCCCCGTGGCCAGCCTCTCTGCGTTGTCCCTCACCTTTCGCAGCAGCATTTGTTTCCTGGAGGTACCTGCTGGGAAGCCCCTCCCCCTTCTGACTTCCATGGGAGGGGGAAACGGCAGAATTACTGGCCAAAGTTTGGGGTTGGGGGGAGCATGTAGGCCAGGGGTGGGTATACTGAATTCTGGGATATTTGAACAAAAATGGATTTATTGAAACAAGAACAAAATAGGTTTCAGGAAAAAGGAACTTGTAAAATATAACTCGTAAGCTTGGTGTCACACCAGTCTCTCAGACACCAGAATTCCACTCTGACAGGATTCTCTTTTTCATGTATGTAGCCAAACCGGCTAAACTCTTTGACTTTTCCACACAAGATAAAACATTGGTCTAATCACACAGTTTAGACGCAGCTTGTTTCTTTTCCTTACAGACTCTCTCTCTCCACAGACTCTCTCTCATAGCTCTTTCACACTTCACTCTCCAAAGACACGCAGAACACTGAACTCTGTCATAAAACACACACACACAGAAAGTCCTCTCAGAACATCTCCTACCACACTCTCAGTCATCAACCAATCACAGCACACACATCTCCCACTATCGCCCTCCTTGCATCAAACTAACATTTAAAGGAACACACGCACATCAAAACAAGGGCAACTTTCGAATTCTGACCCAAGGTGGAGGGCGAAGCCATGAAAGGGCCATTGTGGGCATTGGCGCCAACCACAGAATGGCTGCCCCGAGAGTAGGAGTCCCGGGCGAAGGAAGCCCAAGCGCCAGGACTGAGAGGACCAGTTTTAGAAATGGATTTGGAAAGAGCAGCGAGCGAGAGGAATAAAACCAACACAGTAATGGTAGTGGCTGCTGAAGCGATATTCTTTTCAGTTGCACCGCCCCTTAGGAGACCTGCTGGGCAGGAGCCCCAATTGGCCCCGCCCACTTTCTAAGACACTTGGCAGCTGTGTTCCCTCTAAGCAGAGTTAGTGTGAACTAGCTCACAGTTTTTTATCCTCCAGCTCACACATTTCTGTGTTAGCTCACGAAGGATGGCTCCAGAGCAAACTAATTGATGCAGCAGCCAAAATCACTCGCTCACAACTTTAATGCCCAGTAGCTCACAAAGTGGAATTCTTGCTCACAAGACTCCGCAGCTTAGAGGGAGCATTGCTTGGCAGATGCCTGGAAGGGGTGCTGGCAGGCACCCTGGCACACAAGGGCCACCCTCATTGGGGATCGCTGATGTAGACAGCGGGGCTAAGGTAAAGCGGGGCCTGATACAGACAGTGGGGCCGAAGTAATGTGGGCCCTATAACTGCTGTCTTCTAGGTGCAGAGTGGAGAAAGCCTGAGCATCCAGTGGAGCCCCCCGGACCACATGTACCTGTTCCAGCACTTCCTGGCTACCTTGCAGTGTTACAAGATGCTGCAGGGCACTCTCTCACTGCCATCCTCGCATACCCCAGCCCTGCAGGGCCCCGATGACGCAGATGAGGCCTCCGTAACTGAGTGCTTTCCCCCCAAGCGGCTCCTTGGCTTCACGCTGGAGCTGAGCTCCCTCAAGGTGACGGCCTTTGTCTCGGAGACCCGCTACCTGAGCCTGGTGGCTGAACGGGTCCAAGTGAACCGGCACGGCACCTCCCTTCACGCCTACTGCCCCGGCCTGGCTGCAGGCTTTGACGGCAACGGCATTTTTGCCTTCAAGGAGGTGGAAGTGCAGGCCCTGCCCGAGCTGGAAGAGATGATCTTGCACCGCGGGCCTTTTCCCGCCTTGACCTCCTTGCGGAACCGCGCCTGGGTCCTCTCGTGCGCCAGCGTGGCTGTGGAGTTCCCCTACCAATACGACTTCTCCGCCACGCTGGACGAAGCGCTGGGCGTGCAGAAGTGGCTGAAAGGCCTCCACTACACCGATCGGCACCCCGACCACGAGCCAGCCCTCCCGCCGGACCTCCTCCTGAAGGTCCAGCAGTTCTCCTGGGTCTTCCTGGACGACGTCTTCGAGGTGAAGCTGCGGGACAACTATGAGCTGATGAAGGACGAGAGCAAGGAGAGCGCCAAGCGCCTGGGCCTGCTGGACGCCAAGGTGGCCGCCCTGCGCAAGCAGCACGGCGAGCTGCTGCCGGCCCGCAAGATCGAGGAGCTATATGCCTCACTGGAGAAGAAGAACATTGAGATCTACATCCAGCGCTCCCACCGCCTCTACAGCAACACGCCCATGCGCAAGGCCCTGCTCACCTGGACCTTATCCGACCTGGAGCTGGTGGCCCTGGCCGACGAGTCCTTCCACGGCGCTGAGCGTGTCCTCCAGCAGGTCCAGGAGCTGGATAGCGTCAGCCCCTTCCCACCTGAAGGCCTGGAGCTTGTTACCCACTGGTGCCGCATGGTCAAAGGCAGCGTCAAGACCTTCCTCGGTCAGTCCTCGGGTGGGGTCCTACCCTTGCCAAGCTAGCTCTAGTGCATGTTGTTGTTATCACATCTGGGTAGGAACATGGGCTCCCAAAGTGACATTTGGGACCAAGCACAACATGAGACTAGATATTCCTTGGAGAAGGGACTTAAACCCAGGTCCTTGTAAACTGCCCTGGGCTCCATAGGGAAGAAAGGCCACTAACAAATGTTTTAAATGAAGAAGAAGAAGAGATTGGATTTATACCCCGCCCTTCACTACCTGAAGGAGTCTCAGAGCGGCTGACTATCTCCTTTCCCTTCCCCTCCCCACAACAGACACCCTGTGAGGTAGGTGGGGCTGAGAGGGCTCTTGCAAGAACTGCTCTTGAGAGAACAGCTCTGAGAGAACTTGTGACTGACCCAAGGTCACCCCAGCAACTGCACGTGGAGGAGTGGGGAATCAAACCCGGTTCTCCCAGATTAGAGTCCGCGCTCCTAACTACTGCACCAAACTGGCTCTCGTCTAATGAAATTAGACGTGCATAAATATATAGTTGCTGCAATTAAGCGTTTGTAATGAAAATTGAACAGCAATAACTTTTTTGTTATACTGCTGTCTTTTTCTGTTCGAACAGCCTTAATACCCAGATGGGAAATGGGAAATAAATAAATGAACCCAGGCCCGGTGGGGTTGGTGCCCGACTGCTTTCTGTAGTGGCTTCTAGTTGGAAGCCTGCGGGGCTGGGGGGGCATTCCTATCTGGATCCAGGCACATATGCCTGATTTACTTCCTATTCTCCTTCTGAGGGCCTTGGTGGTGGTGGTTGGAATAACTAATTCCTTCTCTGCTGGGGTCCAGGGTTCTGTGCTGGGAGGATAGTGGTTGCAAGCAGAGTTCCTTAGCTTCCTCCTCAAAATCTCAAGATATTGTGGGGGACGGCCACAGCTGTTTAAAAATGCATGTAGATCAGATATAAGTTAGTAGTGTAGTAGTGTAGGTAAGTTCCATGGTGTCATCACGGAGAGGAGTAGGCAGTAGGGATGTGCATTCGAGTTTACCCAGACTGAAAATATACCCGAAAAACACCTTATGGATATTTGTTTGGGTATATTTCGGCATCCCAAATGTATCCGGGATTTTGTGGGAGAACCGGGGGGGGGGGGAATTCCCAAAAAAATCCTGGATACATTTGGGAATTACTGACAAACCCGAACAACACCAGAGAGGCTGGAGCAGATTGCTCCTGCTGCTCAGCTGTTTTTGGGCTTCTGCAGTCCCTTTAAACGGGGTGTTTAAAGGGACTGCAGAAGACAGCGTGCAAAGCCGCACTCTCCCTGTCAGCTCAGCTGGGGTTCTTTTGGGCTGTTTGACTGAACAGCTGAAGAGACGCCCAGTGGAGCCTGCAGGGATAAACACCTTTGCGGCCTCTGTTGGGTAGTCCAGGTTAAACTGGGCTGCTCAGCAAAGCCCCAGCACAGACTGGGGGGAGAGTTCTCTCTACAGGATTGGCTTCTTTGTGGGCTCTGTTGGACCCATCTGGTTTAAAACTGGGCTGCCCAGCAGAGCCTGCGGGAAGAACTCTCCCCACAGGATTGGCTCTTTTGTGAGCTCTTTTGGGCAGTCTGGTTTAAAGGGACCACCCAAAAGACCCCCAGCTGAGCCGCCTCGCAGCTTTGTTTTGAGTCTTTGCCACTCCTTCCCCCCCCCCTGTATTTTTCAGTTCGAGTCTATTGGACCCGAAAAAAATAAGGATTTCTGTAAAATGTCGGATCCAAATACTTTACCGGTATTGGGATCCAGGTTATTCGGGAATCCCCCAAAATTTTTTGGATCCAATACACCTAAACTGGAAAATCCTGAGGGGGAAAAATTACATACCCCTAGTAGGCAGTCAGGTGTCTGGAGCCTGAATTGGGGAGTCATGAAGTGGACGGCCGTGGATCGTTGCCATGTGCCAGGGGTGGCCAAACGTGCTTAACGTAAGGGCCACATAGAATAAACATCAGATGTTTGTGGGCCGCAAGGCACGAACAGATATTACAGGTTTGTATTGGAAAATACTCAAATTTGCTTTTTATTAACATTAAACAAGACTGCCAAAAATAATAACCAAAGGGATAAAAGCAGATATTGATAATATTTATTTGTCCAGTGACATTTGTTTGGTAATGATATTCAGCTTCCCCAGTCGTCCTGCCGGGAGCCGCACAATATGTGTGAAAGAGCTGCATGCGGCTCCTGAGCCACAGTTTGGCCACCCTACGTGGACTGTCTCATCCAGGAACTTGGGAGCTGGGGAGACAAGGGAAACTTGAGAGGCTTGAGCAGGGGTCGTTTCGTAGAAAAAGAGCTAGGGGAACTCATTAGCATAACTCATTAGCATATGCCACACCCCCTGACATCACCGGAAGTGTGTCATAAGGCCACACCCCCCGCCCCCACCGGAAGTGTGTCATAAGGCCACACACCCCGCCCCCAACGGTCCCGGCCGCCAGTGCCGGTCCCTGGCCCCAGGCAGGCAGGGGTGGGGAGAGGCAGGGAGGAAGCAACTTACCCTCCCTCTTCACCTGCCTCCTCCTGGCTGAATGAGGGCCGGAAGCGGGGCGGCCGGAAGCAGGGGGCGGGGCTTTGTCATGTGCCCCGCCCCCCGTACCTCACCCGGGGGAACTGCGATCCCCCGCGATTGCCCCCGAAATGACCTCTGGGCTTGAGGGACGCAGCTTGCTCACTGTTTTGAAAGTGCTTCCTTTCCAAATGTTAGAAGGTGCCATCAAGTTGTAATAGACTTACGATAACCCCGTAAGCATTTCAAGACAAGAGGTGAACAGAGATGGATTGCTATTGACTGCCTCTGCAAAGCAGCCCTGGGCTTCCTGAGTGGTCTCCCATCCAAGGATCTAACCAGGGCTGACCTTGCTTAGCTTCCAAAATCCGATGAGATTCAGGCTAGCCTGGGCCATCCGGGTAAGGGCTTGTCTCAAAACAGCAGCGGTTGTATCATTTTTGTGCTATACAATTATTATTTTTTTGAAGTTTTCAGCTCATGATGGTGAGCCCAGAACAGGGAGTCTTGCGAGTTCCTTGGCCCCCTGTCTTTGCTCTCCAGTGACTTTTGCCCTTCCTTCCACGTTGACCCACAGTGCGTATACGGGATTACCCTCGCTACTTGTTTGAGATCCGAGACTGGAGGCTCTCCGGCCGACTGGCCGGAGCCGAGCAACGGGGTCCGCCTTGTTCTCGCCGGCGGCAGGTCCTGCAGCTTGGGGCCCCCTGGGGAGATGTGACCGTGGAGAGGAACATGCCTCCCTTGAAGTTCTACCACGACTTCCACTGTAAGTCCCCAGGAATGCACAGGTACAAGCCAAAGGGCACAGCGGAAGGCCGGCTTTTCTGCCCTCTGCAGCATGTTGGGTGGCGGTATGCTGGGGGGGGAATCACCAGTGAGGTTTTGCCCCCCCCCATGTCTGACCCGTGCTTTCGCCCTCCCCCCCCCATGTCTGACCTGTGCTTTCCCTGTCTGGCACAGCGGAAGTTTTCCAGTACACTATCGTGTGGGGGCCGTGCTGGGACCCGGCCTGGACGCTCATTGGGCAAGCCGTCGACCTGCTGACCAAGCCCTCGGAGGATCCCAGCCCTCCACTGCCCTGGTGGGACAAGAGCCGCCTGCTTTTCCACGGCAACTGGCACATGGAGATCGAGCAGGCAAACCTGCACCAGGTGGCCACAGAGGTAAAGCCCGGAGGAGGAGGAGGGGGGCCCACAGGGGGCCTAGAGAGAGAAGCTGACGGGAGGGAGGGGCTTGAAAGTCTTGGCCGGGGTCGGCTTCGGTCCCATTCTCGTGTCTGTCCCTGTCCTGCAGGACCCTTACAACACCACGGAGAACATGCACTGGGAGTGGAGCCGTCTGTCCTTCCACTGGCAGCCGGGCCAGTTTGTCTTCAAGGGAGACATGGATGTCAACGTCCGCACAGCCTCCAAGTGAGTTTGGGGGGGGGTATGCCTTGCAGTGTCCTCGTTCAGATCGGCAGTGCCTTGACAGTGCTGATCTGCCTCCTGGAGGGCCGTCGCCTGTCCCGCGCACCTGCTTCTGGCAATTCTCTCTAGTGCCCCGGGCCCAGCCATTGCCCCTGTTTGTTCGTAACACACCTGCAGACTTCCACAGCAGCCTGTAACAAGAGACCTGCAGCCAGTGTTCCCTCTAAGCTGAGTTAGTGTGAGCTAGCTCACAGGGGGTTTTTTAGCCTCCGGCTAACGTGTTTTTAGGGCTGCAGTGGCTCAAGTGGTGAAGACGCTGAACTGCATACTGGAAGGTCGGTAGTTCAGCAGTTCGAGACCCGAGTGCCGCATGATGGCGTGAGCTCCCGTCTCTGGCCCCAGCTCCTGCCAACCTAGCAGTTCGAAAGCAAGAAATTGCAAGTAGATAAATAGGTACCACTTCAGAGAGAAGGTAACAGCGTTTCATGTGCCTTGGCGTCTAGTCATGCCGGCCACATGACCACGGGAACGTCTTTGGACAGCACTGGCTCTTCGGCTTGGAAATGGAGATGAGCACCGCATCCCTAGAGTCAGATTCGACTGCCTTTCGAGCAAGGGACACCTTTACCTTTACTAACACATTTTTGTCTTAGCTCGGGAAGGATGGCTCCAGAGCAAACTAATTGAGGCAGTAGCCCAATCGCTCGCTCACAACTTTAATGCCAGTAGCTCACGAAGTAGAATTTTTGCTCACAAGGCTCCACAGCTTAGAGGGAGCGTTACCTGCAGTCCCTGCAAAGAGTTTGGGGACGTCAGTGATGGAAAGGTCGGGGAGAAGACAGGACCGGAGGAAGGACCAGTGAAGGGTGGCTTTTTTGCCCAGCTGCAAAGAGGAAAGAGTTTGGGGACGTCAGTGATGGAAAGGTCGGGAAGAAGACAGGACTGGAGGACGGGACCAGTGAAGGGTGGCTTCTTTGCCCAGCTGCCACATCCAGAGTCTAATATGGGATTCGGCAGCATCCGGGGGGGGGGGGGGCAGCAATTTGGAGGCTTATCCCTGGTGTGACTTCCCTTCTCCCTGCTCCCCCAGGTATGACGATTGCTGCTTCCTCCATTTGCCCCAGCTGTGCATGACGCTGGATCTGACGTGGCTGTGCCACGGGAACCCCCACGACCACCACGGCGTGGTGCTGCGCTCCCCGGAGTTCCTGCCCGAGGTGCCCGTGGGCCAGCAGCACGACTCCTATCGGGCTTTCCGCTCCGAAAACCTCAACCTCTCCATCCGCATGGACCTGACACGGCACAGCGGGGGTGCGTACTGCTGCCTGGTGGATGCAGGGTGGCTCCCCCCTCCCCGTGGCAGTGGATGCTTTCTTTGGGTTTCGTGTCCCCCCCCCCTTTTTAGCATGGCTTGGGAGCTGCTGGACTTAGGGCCGTGCAGTTCCAAGCCCAGGTTTGCTTAGCCGGTCTTGCGTTTCCTGACTGTGGAACGTAGCCGAGCGAAGGATTGCTTTCAAGCGGCCTTCTTCTGTGCGTGTGCTTGCATCCCTGGAAGTCACGGTGACTTCTGTTGACCCCTAATGTGGTTTGGATGTTTCAGAGAGATGGCTTGATTTGCCTGTCCCTGCCTCCCAGCCCTGGTATTCCTTGGAGGTCGCCCTTCCAAGTACTTGCCCTGCTTAGCTTCCGAGATCTGATGAGATCGGGCTTGCCTGGGCTGGGCTGTCCAGGTCAGGGCCCCAGGGCCGCATTCTGAACCAGATGCCCTGGGCTGGCAACTCTCTTGGGCTGAGCAGTGAGCCCCTTTCTTAGGCACCTCGGAGAGGCTTCAGGCAGGGCTCAGCCTGACCGTGCTCCTCTCCCTGCGACCCCCACAGAGCCCTCCCAGCCTCGCATCCTGCTCTACAGCAGCACCCTCCGCTGGATGCAGAACTTCTGGGCCATCTGGACCAGCGTCACCCGGCCCATCTGCCGCGGGAAGCTCTTCGGCAGCATGAAGCCCAGCAAAAAGAAGCTGGGGCAGCACTACCGCCAGCTCTCCTTCACGGCCCTCTTCCCCAAGCTCCAGGTGAGGCCCCGTCTCCGGCGTGTTCTTCCTTCGCCAAACCGCCTGGCTTGGGCAGCAGGTTTCAAGAGCAGTTTTCCCGACTGCATTTTCTGCTAACTCTTTTCCCTTATGCCTCTCTTCCTCCTCCCCTCTTTCTTATTTGTGTGTGTGTATGTGTGTGTGTGTGTCTGCACCTGGAAGTCAAGATAACCTCTGGTGACTTACCCCACCTGGAGGATATTCAGAGAGGTGGCTGAGTAAAGCTTGTCCCTGTCCTCCCAACTTCGTATTCCAAGTACCCATCCCATCCAAGTACTAACCACAGTCAACCCTGCTTAGCTTCCGAGATCTGACGAGATCGGGCTTGCCTGGGCTATCCGGGTCAGGGCTCTTCACGCTAACAAGTTCTGATTCATGCTTGGCATTTCTCCATTGTGCTTTTTACTTCCCGTGCATTCTATTGGTTATTATTTATTTGCTTCACTTATATGCCACCTTTTTCCCCAATGGGAGACCTAAAGTGTCTTACGTTGTCTCTCCTTTCCTCCATTTTAGCCACACAACAACAATCCTGTTAGGTATGTTAGGCTGAGAGTGTGTGAACTGGCCTAAGTTCACCCAGCAGGCTTCTGTGGCAGAGTGTGGGATTCAAACCTGGGCCTCCCAGATTCTAGTCCACGCCCTAACCCAGGGGTGTCAAACATGTGGCCCGGGGGCCAGATCAGGCCCCCAGAGGGCTTCTATCAGGCCCGCAGTGGAACTGGCTGTCTTCTGCTTCTTCTTCCAGTGCTGCTGCTGCGTCATTGTAGGTTTGCAGCTTACAGATACACACATGAACAGCAGACTCAAGATTGCAACAGCACAGACATTTTGATACAATAATTCAGAGCGAGAGGTGTCAGTTATCAGACACTGTTAAATAAACAAAATATTGCAAGAGTGCTAATGTTTTAAGCATGTTTTTATTTTAAGTTAAAAAAAAAACCCTTTGTGTTTGTGTCCTTTATAAAGTTTATATCTCTGCTACCTGGCATTACATTTTATGACACACCTGGCCTGGCCCAACAAGGTCTCATTTATGTCAGATCCGGCCCTCATAACAAATGAGTTCGACACCCCTGCCCTAACTACTACCCCAAACTGGCTCTTCTTATCTTCTGTTGTTGCTTCCTCCCCCATTGAGGTTATAGTTATTATAGCTGATGCTGGTGACGCCCTTGCACTGCTGCTGTAACCTGGCTTTATGTTGTTGTCGGGATTTTATAAGACAAACCAGTGGGCTCTAGATCAAATCAAGCCTGACCTCTCCCTAGAAGCTAAAAGACAATGCTCGAAGACAAAACTGAAGCTGTCGTACTTTGGTCACATCACGAGAAGACAAGGCTCACTGGAAAAGACAATAATGCAAGGAAACGTTGAAGGCAGCAGGAAAAGAGGAGGACCCAACAGGAGATGGATGGACTCAGTCAGGGGAAGCCACGGCCCTTAGTTTGCAAGACTTGAGCAAGGCTGTTAACGATAGGATGTTTTGGAACTCATTAATTCAAAGGATCACCATAAATTGGAAATGACTTGACAGTGTGTAACACAGGCACAGGGATTTTGTGATTCTCTTACCCTCCAGCTAGCCAGCATCACTGCAAGACAGGGTCACTGTGACGACCCCTTATATGGGGAGGTCTGGTTTCCCTTTAAAAGTGCTCTTTATTTTGTTCTACTAGGGTATATCTGGCTGCCACCAGGAAATGTAAGGCTTTCCAAACCTTTATACTTTACTTTTGCTATTACTGGGTAGGTAGGTCGAGTATAAGGCTTATGGGGAACTATGTGGTCCTGGGAAGTATTTCTTTCAGAGCTGATATACTTAAATAAAAGAAGATTTATTGAAATAATTCATAAATAAAAGGGTAGAACCATGTAACCAGTAATGTGAATATTTTGAACAATTGCTTGGTGTCTCACACAAGATCTGCTCCCTTACTGACAGGGATCTTTCAGATAACTTTGTAACTCTTTAACTTTACTGTTTCCTAGACACTCAGCTTCAGCTTATAACTGTTTCAACACCGAACTGCTTGTCTCTTTTCTTCTCATACACAGAACTGAACTCTCTTCTATAACACACAAGACTGCTTCTCACACAGACCTCCGAACGAACTATCTTATCAACTGTCTTTATCAACTGTCAAACCTGTAACTGTCACTCTTGACAGACATAAATATTCATCCACTCAGAACCACTTCCAAAACCCCTCCCCCTCTCTGTCAACCACTAATCATACCACGCTTGCTTCTCTCAAGCACTCTAGTCTATTTACCATGCAACCAAACTTTTAAAGAGACACACACACATATAAAACAAGGAATCATTACAGTCACACTATTAACTCTGTTGCAATAAAAGGCTCCCGGTGGTAAAACTGGCTGGAGACAAAACCCGGTGACTCCTCCTCTCCGTCTGCTTCCCTAGGTGCATTACTGGGCCTCCTTCGCCCAGCAGCGTGGCATCCAACTGGAATGCGCCCAAGGGCACATCTTCACTCGTGGCACCCAGCGGCTCATCCCCCAGGGTGAGTGGGGCAGGGTCGGGGAGGAGCTGGGTGGGAGGCGGTCTCCCTTGGCGCACTTGGCGGCGGTCCTCCTTTCAACAGCATCCCCCGCCTGCAGCTGGCACAGTGATGCGGCGCCTGATCTCCGAGTGGAGCATCACACAGATGGTGAGCGACCTGAGCCTAGTCACAGTGCACCTCATGGCCTCCACCTGTGACGAGAACGCAGACCACCGCCTCGACCTGCTGGTGAAGAAGACCCACCTGCTGAGCCTCTCATCCCTCACCTACCAGCGCCACAGCGCCCGCACGGCAGAGGAGGTACTTCTTTTTTGTTTTCCCGGCCAGGGTGGTGCTGGGACAGTGCAGCCTCTCCTCCCTGCAGACTGTCCCAGATGTAGGGTCTCCTCCTCTCCTGAGTTCTGTGGCGAAATTGGCCTGTAGCTGCGGAGGAGGCTCTGATATGTGTATGGCTTCTCAGCCCACAAAGTAAGTCTAGCTCGCCACCTAGTGGTGCATAACGCTAAACGAGTTATAATTTAAGACTGCCGGATAATCTTAGGATCTCCAGGCTATACCACACACATGGCCATACGATAATAATTATTGTTATTCTGTCGAGGCCTCCTCCTGCTTACTGTTTGCCAGCTCTCCAGGCCTTACCTGCAGGTGGACTTTGGAGTGAACAAGTGAAAACAAGAACATTTTATTTTTGTTTGTTTGTTTGTTTGTTTGTTATTTGTATTTATATCCCGCGGGTGGGCTCAGGGTGGGTAACATCATCAAAATAAATACAATTTCAGTTTTAAACATTAAAACACAATAAAACATTATAACAATGGGTACAGCTTGGAAGAGCACAAGTTGGCTATAAAATTCTGGCCTGATGGTACAATGAGTTAAAGGCCAATTTTTGGTGGTCAGTAGACAGGTGACAGATGGGTGACAGCAACCTCATGGAGGCCCTAGATGGGCACCCGCTGCCTCAACCCAAAGGCCTGGTGGAACAGCTCCGTCTTGCAGGCCCTGCGGAATTGAAGAAGATCCCACAGGGCCCCGATCTCAATAGGGAGGCTGTTCCACCAGGCTGGGGCCAGGATAGAGAAAGCCCTGGTTGAGGCAAGACAGGCGTCCTTTGGGCCAGGGACCACCAGGAGGTGTTGATCTTTTGAGCGTAACGCTCTTTGAGGTGTATATGGGAAGAGGCAGTCCCTTAGATACGAAGTGAGGGGGGGTCCTATTCCCCTCTTGTTGGGGCAGAAGGGGGCTGAATCCATGTCCTGCTGGAGGTTATGGGGTCGGCTTTCTTTCCTCTGAGTCCTTTGGACAGGGCCGGGAGTTCTGATGACTGGCTGACCAGAGTGGTGGCCCATGGCTGTTACTGAGCTGTGGCTCACTGGCAGAGCATCTCCTCTGCGTGCAGAAAGTCCCAAGTTCAATCCCCAGCACCTCTGGCCAAAAGGACCGGGTGGGAGGTGACGGGAAAGACCTCAGCCCAAGACCCCGGAGAGCCCCTGCCAGCCTGCGTAGACAATACTGACCCTGAGGAACCCGTGAGCTGATACCCTCTGAGGCAGCTTCGTGTGTGTGTCCCCCCCCCCCCCCGGGGGCCTCCCCCCCCCCCCCGTGATGGCGACGATGCCTTTCACACTCACCAGCTGCAGCTGGTGGACCTGCGGGCCTCCTGGACCACCACCAACCGAGACATCGCCTTTGGCCTCTACGACGGCTACAAGAAGGCCGCGGTGCTCAAGCGCAACCTTTCCACGGAGGCCATGAAAGGCCTGAAGATTGACACCCAGCTGCCTGCCAAGAAGTTCAAGCGGGGGCCGCCCCCCAGCCCCCAGCCTCCGCTGCGAGCCAGCAGCAACCGGACAGAGCGAAGTCCCTCTGGAGGTGAGGAGCAGGAGGGGGTGGTGGGAGCCTTCCTGGCAGTGTGGGTGAGAGCAGTGAGCCCCTCCCATCTCCTGTGGGGCCCGAGTGGCTTGGCTTTGGGGCCACGTGGAGCGCCTGCCCTTCCATGGATCTGTTTTGGCGGCACTTCAATTTGAAATAATGCCCCTGCAGCCTTCTGTGGGTTGGGTTTTTCAGGGGCAAGGTCCAGAAGAGGCAAAGCAAAGCAAGAAGTATTTTGGGCTGAACGGGTGGGGTCCCGTACGGACAAAGCAAATTTTAAAGATAAAGTGGAAGAAGAAGGGGAAGATGAGTTGGATTTATACCCTGCCCTTCACTCGGAGTCTCAGAGCGGCTTACGGTCTCCTTCCCTTCCTCCCCCCACAACAAGCACCCTGTGAGGTAGGTGGGGCTGGGAGAGCTCTTTCGAGAACTGCTCTGGAGAGAACAGCTCTGAGAGAACTGGTGACTGACCCAAGGTCACCCAGCTGGCTGCATGTGGAGGAGTGGGGAATCAAACCCAGTTCTCCAGACTTAAAGTCCGCTGCTCTGAACCACTACACCAAACTGCCGTAGGGGTTAGGGGGCCGCCAGGAGGAGGGGGGGGGATACTCTGACGTGATGTTGGTTCAATTGGGGAGTCGGGCATTGTGGGAAGGGGTCCTAGGATGGAGTGCAGTCTTTATTTAAACATGATAACTTAAGTGCATCAAGTTGTCTGCATGAGGTGCTGATGGGGACCCCAGCAATGGTCTTGCTCAGTCCCGCTCACGCCGGCTGCTGCCGGCTGGCTGCAAAGCCCCAGCCTCCTGTTTCCAGGCCGCTTGCCCGGCCAGCCCTGATCTGACCCCCCCCGCTCCCCCCCCCAGGCGCCTACATGCTCCAGAAGCTCATCGAGGAGACGGACAAGTTTGTGGTCTTCACAGAGGAGGAGTCGGGGGTGAGCGAGCAGCTCTGTGGGATCGCCGCCTGCCAGACGGATGACATCTTCAACCGTAACAGCCTGATTGAGCTCATCAACTGCCAGGTGCCCCCCCCCCCCCGGGCCCCTGGGATTTCACAGTGGAGAGCAATCAGGGGATTGCTCTTGGAGTGGGTTGAGCTGGGCCCCAGGGGTGGGGGGCAAAGCATTTCCTCGCCTGCACGGGGTTTCCTGTTTCCTGCCCTTATGGTGGCCAGAAGAATAGCAGCTGTCTGGCCAAGGAATCTGTTGAGCCAGGAACAGATTGTATGAACATAGACATTCAGTTCTCTGGCTGGGATTTATTTATTTTATTTCCTTTATATCCGGCCTTTCTCCCCACTGGGGATCCAATGCGACTTATTTCAGTCTCCTCCTTTTTTTATCCTCTCAACAACCCTGCGAGGTAGGTTAGGCTGACAGTGTGTGACTGGCCCAAGGTCACCCAGCAAGCTTCCATGGCAGAGTGGGGACCTGAACCTGGGATTCCCAGACCCTAGTCTGAAACTTTAATCATGACACCATGCTGGCTCAAAAATCTTGACGAGGGGGTCTACCTTCAAGGTTCACACCTTTTTCTTTACAGAGAAGGTTTGCCCCTCAAGAAATGTTTGTCTTTAAGGTGCCACAATTAACTCACCCCTTTTCGACAACTGACAAAGACCATTTCCTCTCGTAAGAAGAGCCCTGTGGAATCAGGCCAGTGGTCCATCTAGTCCAGCATCCTCCTCTCTCACACACAGTGGCCAACCAGTTCCCCTGGAGTGCCAACCACAGGGCATAGAGGCTGAGGCTTTCCCTTGATTGATTGATTGATTGATTGATTGATTGGTTTAATTTGTTCCCTGCCCTCCCTGCCCAGGCAGGCTCAGGGCGGCTTACAGAATAAATATATATATATTTTTATATATATAAATTAAAAAAAACAAAATTTAAGTTAAAACCACAGCATGTAAAATCAAAACTGCTAGTAGTCATAGGAGCTAGTAAACGATGGCAGTGTTCTCTCGGCATCCAGATGGTCAGCTGCCACTATAGTCTGAGTTCTTGCCAGGCTATTAGTTATTAGGTTAGTACTGATATTGGGCCAGAGCCACAATATTGGGAGGCGGCACTGTAATCGAAAGCCTGGTGGAAGAGCTCCGTTTTACAGGCCCTGCAGAACTGTAAAAGGTCCCGGAGGGCCCTGATGTCATCCAGGAGCTCGTTCCACCAGTAAGGGGCCACCACAGAAAAGGCCCTGGCCCTTGTCACAGCTGGCCTGTCTTCTTTAGGGCCCGGGAGGGCCAAATGGTTTTGAGACCCCAATCTTAGTGCTCTCTGGGGAACATGTGGGGAAAGCCGGTCCCTTAGGTAAATAGGTCCCTGACCATATAGGGCTTTAAAGGGTAAGAACCAGCACCTTGAACCGAATCTGGTATGCTATAGGCAGCCAGTGCAGTGCTTTCAGGGCAGGCTGGATGTGCTCCCACATAGGAAGACACAACAACAGCCTCGCCGCTGCGTTCTGCACCAGCTGCAGCTTCCGGATTTGGGATGTTGCCTCCTGGCACTGGTGGTCACTCCGGGGTTGGTTCCTTTTTTTAACCTGGTGACACTTGCCCTGCCTTCTGGCCCTGAGATCTACTGTGCGAAGGACACTTTCCCTGTGTCCATCGGGGATCTCAGCCTTCAGGAGGGAGCGAACCCTCTCTCAGCCAATGGTGGGGAGGCTCTCATAGATCTTCTTCGTGGTCTCTGTGCTTCACACCAATGGGTTTAGTGCGCCTGCGCTGACCCAACCGGTGCCGTAGCAAGCTATGTTTCAAAGGATTTTCGCGCGAGTCCCACTGAGCATGCGCAGGAACCCCAGCATGCATGCCCAGAGGGGACGGGCGCGGAGATCCCGCCAGTTCTCTCTCTACCGCCGCGTTGAAAGGACCTTTTTGCCTTTCCTCCTGACCGGATAGCTATTACTGCCTTCGGGCCTTTACCTTATTTCTTGTTTCTTAGGATCATCCTTTATTTTATTTCTTTACTTCAGTTTACAAAAAAAAAAAGAAGAAGAAGAAGAAAGAAGAAAAGCGAGAACTTTTGTTTTTCTGAGGGGAATCCCCTCAGGCCTTCGGGCCCCCCCCCCCCCCTTCCCTCTTCACTTTTTCTTCCCGCCGTATGGAAAAGAAAACGAAGAGGAGTCAGGTGGGGCTTTTTCAACCGCTGTAAGAAGTGTGGAAGTAAATTGGCCCCTCCAGATGGCCATGAACTTTGTTTGTTCTGCTTAGGCGAGTCACACAGAGCGGATACTTGTAAGCATTGTGCTAAATTTTCTAATCAGACGAAAAAGAACCGTGCCGCA